AATATACCTTGAGTATTTTCGCTAAACTTACAGTACAACCTTAATTACAAATCCTACAACTTACCGAGAATAAGTAAATTTATAGATATTTGGCAACACCGATCTGCTGCATTGGCAAATCCGGAATCAATGCTTCCCTTCGCGAGAAGTTCTGAATTATTCCGAACATTCTCGACCGTCTGCGCGAACGTATATACACGCCGCATTTCGGCAATTCTGGTCAGTCTCAGTCGAGTCAGTCGTTCTGTCTGTGCTAAATCTATTGTGAATGCGTATGTCCCCAGCAGTAATTTTTTTATACCAAATCATGGATAGATTTTTAAGTGGGCGTAAGCGAGCATTCGATACTTGTGAAGCATCAACAAGTGCACAGGCGAGAGAGGTCCCAAAAATGAAATCAAGAAAATATTCTCAAGAATACTTAAATTTTGGGTTTACATGCAGTCAATGAAGAAGAGAGGCCTAGTGTATCATTAGCTCAAAAACTTTAGCAGCAGATAACATGAAACCTAATAAACTTAAACGACATTTGGAAACGCTTCATAGTGAGTACGTTAACAAATCCCGAGAATTCTTCGAGTTAAAATTAAAATCATACGAAAAGCAAAAATCATTAAAAAAAAACTTTGACTGTGAATGAAAAAGCTTTGCTTGCCTCTTATAAAGTTTAATATGAAATAGCCATTAAAATTGTAGAAACTATGTTTGGAGATAATTTTGCCAAACAACTGGAGTTCATACCTCCATCAAATGATACGGTTGCTCGTCGAATTGCTGATATAGCTGAAGATGTACAGCAGCAGCTACTCGGGAAGTTGCGAGACAAGTAGTTTTCAATTCAGCTTGATGAGGCAACGGATAGCAATAAAGATGCTCATCTTATTGCCTACGTTGGATTTTGTGATGGCATAGCAGAAAAACCTATTGCATATATTGAGGCAAACATAGAGTGGAAGAATTGCGTCGGAATATGCACTGATGGGGTTCAATGTCCGGAAGATTTGAAAGTATACAAGCCCTTGTAAAACAAAAATCTGCACTGTGCATCTGGACACATTGCATGATTCACAGAGAAGCTCTGGCTTCCAAAGAAATGTCTCCTAGCCTGAATATTGTACTACGGTTGTATCAGTAGTTAATTACATAAAAATGTGACCTTTGAAAACAAGAATCTTTTCTGCACTTTGTAAAGATATGGGTGCAGTACATTCAGCATTACTATTCTATTTCAAGGCAAGATGGTTATCACGTGGGAAATGTTTTCAACGTGTTTTTGAATTAAGACATGAAATGGTATTTTTATAGAAGAAGAAAACCGACCGGAAGCCGAGATGTTTCGAGATGATTTATTTATGATTCAAATGAGCTACTGGGTCGACATATTCGAGAAACTAAATATCTCGAAACTTCAGCTCCAAGGAGCAAATACACATACATTGGATACGAGAGATAAAGTTAAGGCTTTTTGTAGAAAATTGGAATTGTGGAGCAGAAATTTAAAGCAAACAAAACCTGGACATGTTTGCAAATGTGGATGAATATATTAAAACTTACAAGGTCGAAGAACAACACATGAAAGTTGTTTTCATAACTATTGAAAATCATTTAGCGATGCTGGCAAAGAATTTTAAAAATATTTTCTTGCCGACGACAAATTAATACTTACTTACGAGTAGGTTAGGAATCGGTTTCAAATTACTTCCGAAGGGCTCCCAACTGCCGAAGAAGAAATCTTCATAGACTTGACGGCAAACGCCGAAATAAAAAAACAATTGAATAATAAATTCCTCTTCGAATTTTGGGCAGGCGTGAACGATGAGTTATCGGCACTGAAAACCAGAGCGTTTCGTATACTACTACCATTTTCAGCATCCTACCTTTGCGAAACAGGATTTTCGGCGGTGGCTGCTTTCAAGACCAAATATAGATCGCAGTTAAGTATAGAAAAAGAACTCAGTGTCTGTTTCTAATATCAAACCTTGTTTCGACAAGCTTTGCTCGGTAAAGCAGGCCCAAGGGAGTCACTAGTAATTATTATTTTTTACAATTAATATTATAAACTTATTTTTAATTTAGTATTGATAAATACAGTCCTGTTGTGTAAGTGTACCTACTATATCAGTGTTAATTTGTATTTTATTTTTGATTATACCAGAATTTTGTTTTTCTTTCCTTTTAGTGAATTATTCAATGTTGTTAGAGTTTTTTCTGATATGCTCGCCCCCCCCTTTAATATTGACACGCGGCCCCTAGGGGGCGCGCCCCATAGGTTGAGAAACGCTGTGTTAGGCATAGAAATCTACTGTGAGTCTAGAAAATTACCTTTGATGCAGTTGCAATTATTAGATATTTTGATTTTATTGAAAAGTTTATTATGCCTTATATTTATGCTGAAAGCAGTATGTTTATTATATTATTTTTAGTGCGAGAAACCATGTTGAATTTGGGCTATGTGCTATATACAATATGATAGAAATTTGTTTGAATCCCGATGACGAAATGTTGACTGAACAGTTTGTAGAAACTGACGATATTGAATATAAAGACTCTAGGTCGATGGCATTAAAAACAGGTGATTATTTTTAAACCTGTCAACTAAAATCCGATGGTGCTATTTAAGAATAGATTGATGTTTGTTCTACTATTTTAGCTGATAGACTTCTGAAGGAGCTCAAACAGAAAATAGACACCAATAGCGACGAGATATTGAAATACAGGCTTCTCACTAACTTTCGATTATTGGCTACTAAAGAAAAATTCAACATAGACCGAGCACTTGAGGATTTTGTGGTCTTGGCATCAGAAAGTGCTTACAAAGATAACATTGCCATTACTTTAGGTACTTTTTATTGGATTTCCTTTTATATTTATTTTTCAAGTTATCCATTTCCTTTAGGTGACTGATTGTTCTTTTTGACTTTGCTTCACGCAATACCAATGAAAACTGCGTACAGGGTGTTGAAAAAATTTCTAACCCTCTGTCTCAGAACACACTGCTGCAACATGAAATCGTCAAGACAAACGTTGCAAGATTTTGAGATAACAATCTAATGGCTACCTTGAAAATGGCCTTTAAGGTCATTAATTTAGGTGTCGGTTTTAACATTTTAAATAATGCCCAGAGAAGAAAAGAATGAGACATTTTACATTCAGAAATGATATTTACCACGACCTTGATCATAGTATTTAAGATCATTTTGAGGTCAAATTGAATATTGTATTATAAGGAGTGGTGTAACTTTGATCCTGTAGATGGAGGGAGAAAAACCCTAACCTCGTCACTTTGAAGGTCAACATCAAGGTCATGGTCAAGATCATTTTCAAACGTAAGATGATCGTCCTGTTATGAAATTTTCAAACTTCTGATTGACCTATGGGTGAAGTCATTTCCGAACGTAAAATTTTCTATCGCTGGGGTAAAAATGATACGGCTGTATTTAAAATTTTCATGTTGATCTCTAAATACCTTAAATTTCATTTTCAAGGTGATGATTACGATCGAGAGAGTTCTCTGAAAATCCTTCAACTTTTGTCTTGACTTTTCGTTTCGGCTGTTCTTTCTGAGATAGAGACCGGCTGGGAATTTCCTGAGCACATTATAATGGTAGTGGGCGTATTTACCCTAGGGACAAAAGCCAATCTACTCGCTTTTCAATTTTCAATAGGCAATAGCACCCCTCTCCCTCAGACGGGCTGGATCTTAAAATACGCCCCTGTGTGATAGTATTGTTAAGAGTAAGAATTCTAGATTATTCAGAATATTGGTTCTTGTAGGGATAGCAACAGCCTATACATTACTAAAGCAGTCCCAAAGAGCAAAAAACCAACTAAAAAGAATCGTAAAATCCACATGGACTTTCGAAGATGCCGAGTACCTAGAACGTTGCTGGCTTCTTCTAGGCGATTACTACATACAATCGTCAAAATACGACATAGCTATGGATCTCATAAACAAAGTGATACAACATAACAAATCGTGCACAAAAGCGTACGAATATTGTGGTTACATCTCAGAGAAAGAACAGAAGTACAAGGATGCAGCGAATTATTACGAAAAAGCGTGGAAGTACAGCGGGAGAAATAATCCTAGTTTAGGGTTCAAGTTAGCATACTGCTTGATGAAGTCTAAAAAGTACCCGGATGCGATAGATGCTGCCCAGGAGGTGCTGAGGTTGAGTCCCGAGTATCCCAGGGTAAAGAAAGATATTTTGGATAAGTGTATGAACAATTTAAGGGTTTGAATCTAATTATTGATCTTTTTGTGATATTGCTCCGCCCACTAGCATGTAGGTGTTATTTATTTAGTGCACAAAATAAATTTGGATTCATTGAATATTCATTTTATTGTAAGCTAAACCCAGCATTTTTCCAACAGCTCTTTTTTCAAAAAAATTAATTTTATTTTATTTCTCCTGGAAAACAAAGCAGGATACGAAGAGATGCCAAGGGACAAAGAAGTTATATCGATAGTTGATTAATCAGAAAACACATTTTTTTTAGAGTTAGTGGCGTACATATATACCCTATTTCACGAGTATCCATCAGGGTAGAATGACGGCTGGTTATATAGTAATATCTCAATATTCCCCATATGGGCACAGGACACATAATCCTGACGGGCCCGTGAACGCCAGGTAGACAGAGCCGAATTTGTTTTGGTTTTGTGTACGCTTCAGATTCATATTGTACTTGCTAACAGCTCTTTTATTTAGAAAAGTTCAATTGCATACAAAAAACAAAACGCTACAAACAAGTTTTACTAGACTTTCACCCGATTCATTATTGCCAACGTTGCAGAATAACACAAAAAAGTCACTTACTGAGCAGCTGTTCACCTCAATAGACGTCAAAGCGTGATGGATACTCGTGAAATATGGTTGTTTGTCAATATTACTCGTGATACTGTCCCTTGAGACGCCACTGGAATTGATTGTTATGTTCTAAGTGGCGTCATATTGCAATGAACAACCCTGCTAAAATTCATCAAATTGGTAAAAGGACCTTTAAGTTATTGGTTAAAATTTTTTTTTTAAAACTTTGTCACCTTGTATCTTGGAAACCAGACTAAATAGGAAACACGTTTATATAAACTTTTCTATACCGATTTGGTTCAGGAATGGGCTCTTGTAATTACAACGGCGCATAATTATGGCCTATCAATACGTAACTCCCAGTACATTGCTTAGGAATGCATGTAATTAAGAAAGGAGGAGGTTAGGACAAACACAAATCACATCATATATTGTATAAAAATAGACACTTATGTTACAAATCACTATTACAAATGAAACGGTTGCCTTCCGAATTCTTACCACTGTACTTGTAGAGACATTTTCCGTAAGCACCTGAAAGAAATCACAGTGATAATGCGTTCATGAAAATTAAAGTTTGTAGTCGGGCATTGGATAAATAGTACCTTTCTCAATATTTTTGATCAATAAAATTATATGCTTTACTTCTTAATATTGGCTACAGAGGCGTATGTAGACATCCATAGTTATGACACTCAGTCGCCCGGGAGATTAAAAAAACATTGAACTTTTCATGTCTTAAGGCTCGAAAATGTACAAAGGGTACTATAAAACTTTTGCTATATGACTTAACAAACGGACGCAGGAGGCTGCATATTGAGACATGTCCTTGAGTGCATAGTAGCCGCCAGCAGCGCGTCTGTTGATTTAATTGTTCATTCATATTGACAAAGTAAAGTGAGGATTATGGCATCGTGGTCACGTAGTGAGATAAGGGCAGTTTTACGATATAACTTTACGCGTGGTTAAGCATAGACTAGTGTTTAGAAGAAATGACGCTTGCACTAAAGAATGATTGTACTCATCGTACGACTATATTCAGGTGGTACAGAGAATTCCAAAGGGGCAATTTTACTCTGGAGGATGCTGAGAGGGAAGGAAGGCTGCGAATGTCAGTAACAGAGGAAAACATTACTGCTGGGAGATAAATGCTTGACGAAGACCGCGGAGTGACATACCAACAGATAGAGGAGACCTTACACCTTCATGCATCAGCAATTCATTCAATTCTGCATGACCATTTACACGTAAGGGAGCTCTCTCTGGGTACCGCATAGTCTGACGGAAGAGCAGAAGACTCGACGTACGACTTGGTGCCGAAAGATGCTGAATATGTTTGATAAGGGGCAATCTCGGTATGTGAACAGCATCGTGACAGGTGACGAGACTTTGCTCTATTATTACTTTGTTCCGACCAAGGCTCAAAACAAAGTTTGGGTCTTTGATGATGAAGACTTACCAGTAGAGGTGTCAGAAATCCCGAACTGTTAAGAAAAACATGATAGCTGTATTTTTCAATTCGAGCGGGATTGTGGAGCGAGATGCCATTTTGGCCACACAGAAGACAGTCACAGCTAAGTGGTACACGGAACAATCCCTGCCTAAAGTCATAGACATAGAGTGTGTGAAAACCCTGCGGCCAAAGTCAAGGATGGATACTTGGTACCTTCACCATGACAACGCTCCAGCTCACCGCGCCAAAGCCTGCTCCAAGGATTTGACTACTTCTAGACTGAAACTGATTGAGCACCCTGCTTACAGTCCTGATCTTGCTCACTGCGACTTTGCACTGTTTCCGCATGTGAAAATGAAGATAAACGGAAACGGTTTTCTGAGCGCTTGGGACAACGAGTGTCCGCACTCCCGGGTGAAACTTGGTAGAGCTCGTTTAAGGACTGGTTTTTTGGATGTGGTGGAAATTACTTTGAATGAAGTCAATAAATAAAGCTGTATTGAAAAACTTTTTAGTAGGTATACTTTGTATCTTTCTGGAAATATTAATTAACATCTTACTTTTATGATCCTCTGGACCCCTCATTGACTTAGGAAGCGGGGTAAAACCACCTGTACTATCTGAATTCAATCTTATTTCGTCCATACCGTCACCTCTTGGCCTTATCACGTTCATGAATTTACCTCGTCTTCTTGCCTCCGATCTTTCTACTTCCCTGACTTTGGTTGAGTCCAGAAATTTGAGGTTGGGAAGATGGTATAATACGTAATACCTGCAACATGTTTTGCAGTAAGTAAACATCGCTCGCAAGGTTTGTTGAGGTATAATATACGTGTTGGAAAAACTCCATAATTATAAATTTTCATTGCTTAGCAGGCTGGAATTACCTATATCTTTGATAGTCCTCTTCATCATTTTCTTCACCAGACAATTCGTTAGGACATGCCTTGTTACCTAGTAAACTTAAGTAGCTCAAGTTTGGAAGGTTCTGTCTGATCTTCAATAGGAGTGATTGGATATCTAAGATCTGAAAACAAGAAATAATTCATTGCAAGACATAGACTTATACAATGATGTCTAATTTTATCCAGGAGAAGTTAAAAAAAAGGCGCATAGCTTTCTCAGGATAACGCTTCGATTAGGCATGGTAAGTATTCGGAGTCGTGCTGATTTTGGAAAGGTTTATAATATTACAAAACTGTTGAAGCTCCATATTTTTAATTTCTAAGTTGATATGGCTTTGCGGGAACCGGCTCGGTGTCAGTCTCGATGCCATTTTTCATTATTCCATGGAATTTCATTAATCTACCCAAGATTAAATTAGACTGGTGACATCGAGAATAAAATCAATAACCCCTGGGAAAAATGCCCTATTAAAATCGATGTAAAGAGATTCTGTGTCCGTCAGACTGTAGTTGGGAATCACTCAACTATCTGGCTTGATCAAGAATCTCTCTTATCAAGGTTGATCAACAGGCGGCGCCCGAAGAGCACATAATTTTTCAGGAGTTTTTATTGACGCTTTGAAAAGTAGTTTGAGATTTTTAGCATAGGAAAGATTTGATGTGGTAAAGTTTACTTGAATACTACGCATTGGCAGGATTGGATTATTCTTCATACAGTTTGAAAATTTCCAGATCTCGCCCACAAAAGATGAGACCTATGTGTTTATTCAGATTCAGTGAAATTAACAGTAACCACCTATACCTACAAGCCACGAAGTACGAAACTTAGCAACGTTGTGTTAATCCTATCGGTCTACCAGTATGACCGTGGGACGAACCACCCTTATTTCATGTTGCCTGTAATTCACTTGTTCTTAAGTGTTGTAAGGTGTTGGTTGTGCTCTGTATCCGTGGTTTTTGGAAAAACTACTGTGATCGCACCCAGTGGACTTCAAGCAGTGAAGTATATACGGTGAGGTTTAAATTTGGCTGTCGTCGTAATGTGTCGAAGAGAGAAGCGCCCAATATGAATGTTGGAAAAAGTAGTCAAGCGGAATCGCACAACAACCCTCTGTTGCGTGACTCATCAGTGGATTACACAGTGGAGCAAGTTCGTAAACATTCAAAACAACGGCTCGCACTGTGATAAAAAAAATCAACATACTTTTAGTAAACTCAAAATGACACATAAGCTGAATCAGTTCACCTCAAAATTAATCCGTGTACCAAGTAAGGCCTAGGTGATTCCTCTTAAACTGATACACTCCTGTTTTTCTTTGCTTTTCTTCTCTTTCCCTTTCTCATTGTCCTTGACATTGTCTGGTATCTGAACAACTAGGACTGACAGATTCGACTAACGTGCATTAGAGCAGTGACTAATGGGCAAAGACAAATGAATGACAAATAGTTAGGCAGCAGCGGTGGCCGCAGTAGCACTGAAGAGTCAGTCTCCTGATCAGTCGCTGTGCGCTGTGCGGGTTCGATTCCCGTCCCAAGAGAAATTTTTCTCATGGCTATGGATGCTGTGATTGTTCGTAGGTGGTAGATGGTCTCTGACTGTCGAACGCAGAGGTACCACCCGGCGGATCTCGTAGGCGGGGCTAGAATGTTTGCATGTTGCATGCACATGTGTTCTCTCGCCAGAGTCCGTGTGGCGTTCCCCCTTTCCCCTGTATCCCCCTATAGCCCCACGGTACCTCATGGGTGTTTAGGCCTTAGTGGTGGTTGGAGTGCAAAAAAAAATTGGAAAGAGTGTGCCGTTGGCGTCCGTGGCCTCGTCTTTCGGGTGGGCTAGGCAACGAGGTGCTTTTATCTCTTTCTAACACACGTAGTGCACGCTTCTCGCGCTTTTCTCTCGTACACATTACGACGTCAGTGGTATTTGGTTTCAGTGTACCTGTATATCGTGTAGACTATTTAAATAAGATGGGTTACAGAGTAATATGAATAAATTCCAAATAATACATACTGAGTGGTTTGTTGAAAAAAGAAATAGTTATCTATAATCTATCCAACGACTGTAGGGAGTAATAAACCAAGTGACAGGGCAGCCCGATTTACACCGTACAGCTACCTGCAAAACCGATAATGCGTTATCGCCAGTGGCGTGTAGGTTTTAAAATTAATTGAGGTACCATTTAATTTATTTTCACTGTTTCTTTCTTTTCATTACTTTCAACGTGCTATAAGGTTTATTACATTGATATGTTGAATATGCTGCCCCAGTTTATGATTCGTTAACGTTACATATTTATTATATTACAAAAATAACTTTAATACATGGAAAAAATAAAGGGCTCATAAATTAAATTCTTTTTTAGATTGGATTCTGGATCCTTTTAATATAATACCTATTAATGTATCTACCTGCACTCAGTATCACGTTTATTTCGACGGCTCTATCCGGATAGACTTTAAACTGGATTATCCCAATCATGTGTAATCCTGACCGTTTATTTCGTCAATCCACAAGTCAAACCAAAACTGATCTTGGACAGAGGGTTCCTTCAAAATTAGCGGTCAGGATTAACACAGGAACCTACTTTAAAGTCTATCCGGATAGAGCCGTAGAAATAAACATGGTAATTATAGAATTATGTTTAGGGATATAGGTCCTTCCTCATTATCCAGTAAATATACAAATTACATTTATTAACTAATCGCTATCACTAGCAGTATAATCTGAAGATTCTGAATCGTTTCCTAAGTTAATAATCACTGGTTCAACCACTGTTTCCATACATTGGTCAGTTGTCCAATTTTTTCTTCCTCCTTCTCAACATGATCGATTGCTTTTTTCCAATTTTCCGCAGTTACATTTTGTACCGCGGTGTAAAAAAACTGGACTGAGTTAAACTTGCAATGGTAAGGAGGCAGGCGTGAAATAGTCCGATTGGTAGATTTAACCATTTCATCGATGACATACTTGTCAGCACTTTTATTGCCCTTGACCAAATTTAAAAGTTCTGCTTTGACCATACCGTTGTCAAAGGGAACAAGTATGCCTTCGTAGCCATTCCTGTATTTCCCCTTTACTGTTTCCACTGTTTGGTGCTTTATCAATACGCCTACTATGGTATGAAGCATTGTCCGTAACAATATATACATACAATATACTATAGCAAGAAGGAAACGGCAATGCATAGGTGCATAGCGAGGATTTGTGTGCTAATAATATGTATTGATGATAATTTCATTGGATTCTTGTCTCAAATACATTTACCTGAGATTCAAAGCTAGAAATTAGTCGCCCATCCACTTTTTCTTATTCAGTCTGGAAATTACATAATATCCAAATTTATGAAAATGAAAAGGTTGTTACGTTATTTTTTATTTCCAGTCATTTAAATTTTATAGACATTTATTTTGCGATGTCAATAGAAAATATAAATCAGTGCCTAGATGTGAGGCATTGTGAAAATATTTGATGTGTGATGCGTCATTACCAATTTTTCTGTGATGTGGCTTAATTGCACCCAACGCGGGCGCGGTGGCGATTTTTCGTGCTCCTCAAGGTTTTTGAAAAAAAAACAGGAAAAATCATAATTTATAACTTTGAACATAACGTGTTTTCAGAGAGGACAACATATATATATATATATATATATATAAAACCCGTCGGGCACAGCACAACAAAAGATAATATATTCTTTATTGGTAGCATATTCAGTAATCATTTTCTCACTGATTTTATGTACACATGCACCAATACACATAATCATCCAGATGCGATCTGGCTATTCTTTCACATCTTCTCAGAGATGAAAGCTACAGACTACTCGGCTTCACAAAACATATGCAACCAACAATGTGTGTAGTTGAGTCATTCCTCCGTAGATGGACGCTCACAGCGGTCATAGCGAGCAAACGTGTAATGAACTATTTGCACCCTAAAAACTACATAGTCTGCAAGTTGAGATTTTATTGTTTTTTTGGCGTTTCTTACATAATACCACCACGTGCGCGGCGTTCGATTAGTTGCCTCCGCTACATACTTCGCTCATGACGAATAATATTGGAAAAGGTGAAATCTCACCGTTCATAAAATTTAGTCATCGAGCGCCAAAGTGTCACTTTGCGCTGTCAATATAAGGCATGTTCTGGAAATGAGAATTTCTGACCGTTGTGGACAGTTGGAAACAGTTAACCAAATTATTTTGAGGCGTGGATCTGAGTGACATTTTTTGACAATTCGTTTGGTTAAGTGAATTCGGCCGTTGCAAACTGTTCGAAAGTCATTGCTATTAGTTACATACCTTGTTTTTGTTGAGTGACAACGTCTGTAACGTAGGTAGGTACGGGAACGAAATCGTATCGGACAGTTGATTGTTATCCAATACTAGTTCTTTCAGTACTGGAAAGCCATCTAATCCTCTTAAGGTGACGATCTCGTTATAGCTGAGATCTAAACATTGTACTTTAGGACCGTACAGCTTCACGAGAGCTTCGGGAATCTTTTGACATCGTTGTCCACTGTAGCATAACTGCAAGCAGAAGAGAATAGTTTACCACTTTATTTGATAAACAAAAAGAAAATGTAATCAGTTAGATTATGTTGTGTCTCTTTCCAAATCTACAGCCAATGTTCAAAAAGTCTGAGTATCTATGGAATGACAACAACTTGATAAATTTCATATGTAGTTTCTTTTATACTTGAACCACCACAAAGGTCTAAGGCCTAATCACCCGTGGGTACCATAGGGCTATAGAGGGATACAAGCAATAGAGGGTGTCACACTGACTCTAGCGAGGTGGTATCTACACGTTCGACAGTACGAGACCGCCTATCACCTATAGAAAATCACAACATCTATAGCCAAGAGAAAATTAAGATAGGAAGCGATTAGGTATTGTTAAAATCACTCGACAATTTTTCCCAAGATGCTCTAATTTCAATTTAATTTTCATTACAGTGAGAGTAGCGGCATTTTATGTCTACTTGGAACACGTTTATGAATATAATTTTCATAACCCCCTTCAACATCCAGTTCTTAAATCCTCCTATTTTTTTTTTTGTGAAAATGAGAAACAGTATCTGAAAAGTCAAAAAACGACGTTTAATCAATTTTTATTTTTATCATTTTTTGCCCGTAACTCCATCGCCACTAGATCGATTTCCAAAATCTACAAAGCCTTTTTTTCCTTGGCATAGTAGTAACTGCATGTTTTATTTCGGTTGACCGTACCTCAGGTATAGAGAGGATACTTGAAGAAGCACGAAACAGCTACCCTTGGTTGGCTGTCTTTTTGTTCGGACGGAGGAAATAATCTTGTTTAGTTTATAGTAGTAACCTAGTGGCAAAATTTCATCAAAATTCAAGTGGTATTTTCCAAATTATAGACGAGTCAAGAATTAGTCGACAGACAGATAGACATACCGACCAATGGAACTGAGTGACGTTATGAACCATCAAAGAAAGAATTAGGGCTTATAAAAGGGGGCTTTGGCCCTAAAAATAACTCAAATTTAAAGTTAGTTACATTAATGAAATCTTTGCTTATACTAATATTTTTTCACAATTTTTCCTTGATCATGATCATGATCGCAACAATTTGATAGTTCAAATTGATAAAAGTGGTATATATTTCACGAACTGTGATTTAGTAACTGATATTTCTAAATCACGAATCATGGCTGTTACCAGACACCGTGAGAGAGAGTGACGATGTCACGACTTGGGAGCTAGGCGCTTCATGCCAACGGTGAATGGCATCATGGAATCACGGCGTTAATGTTTCAATGAGCGTGAGATGCGCATGAGCGCAAGCCGCTAAGTTCGAGAATGGTATACCACCGTAGGACTACTATGACCTACAATATCCTGCTTTATAGGTATTGGTAGTTGGCTCCATGAGATTTCATGGCGGTATTTTTTTACGCCGAAGCAGTCGCGCATGTAGAAGCGTAAATGTTAGGTTTCCGCCGTTGCTATGAGGATCCCAAAGAAATTTTGTTAATCCAATTCCTCTTGTAGATTGTTCCACAATCTCGCCACCCTCGGGACAAAGGAGCGGGCGTATCGGCCAGTTCTGGATGTACGACGTTCGATAAGATTAGGATGGGAGGCCGAAGTAAGGCGTGTCTGTATGACAGGCACATCGCGCGGCGGCATCATGGAGCTCTGAGGAGCAAAGCCCCTTGCTGTAACGTTAAAAGAGAGCAAGCCGCGCATGTGCGAAAGGGTACCAAAACTGTTAGAGAAAAATGATCGATCAGTCGGCAGCACTCCAAACATGTGAGCAACACTCGAAGGCTAGGCCGTATCTTGGCCTTGCACACAGTAAGTAGGTCATGCGGGAAAAGGTTCTTCTTAGCCCTAAATAAATAACCTAGCTTTTTCCGAGCAGCTGCCGCTATTGTCGAGATGTGCCTCGTGCCAGATTAAGTCCTCTGTGATCTGGACTCCGACCAGCCGAAATGAACGGCTCTTTGGCAAACCTGGATGAGCTCTAGGACGCTTTTTGTTCGTCAAGATTGTTGCATACCCAAAGGGTGATAACCTCCAGGTTTCTCGACAGAAAGAAAGTCGCAGCTAGTCCTCTTTTTTCCAGCTCACCGGTATAGAACGGCTTGTCGCTCTGAATTCCTGCATGTAGAGTACTGTCATCAGCAAAGCAGTGGATTGGGTTGATCGTACAAGAAAGGAGAAACAGTGTCGGAGCCAAGACTGACCTGTGGCGAACACCCGCCTTGACTTTGTGAGATGAAGAGGAGAATCCGTTAATTGCGACATATCTTGCGGCGAGAGAGAAAGTCAGCCACAAAACTGCAAAGCTTCTCAGGGAGGCCATAGCATGATCGAACGCTTTTGTGATATCAAGAGCAAGGCAGGAGCCTCACCATAAGACTGGATGAGTTTACTCCACAATTGTGTGACATAAGCTAAGAGGTTCCCTGTGGATCGTTGGTGTCGGAAACCGTACTGCGTGTCGCTAATCAAGGTAGTTCGTTCGAGGTAGTCCAGAAGCTGGCGATTTAGACACCTCTCAATCACCTTACCTATAACAGAAAGCAGATATATAGGCCTGTAGTTGTAAGGATCGATCTTAGAACCTTTTTTTTGGGATGGGTTGGACATGAGCACAATTCCAGTTTCTTGTGAAGGTGCCGGATTTGTAAGGTATCTAGAAGAGACGCGAAAGAACTGGAGCAAGCTCCGCTGCACACCTCTTCAATACAACGGTAGAAATCAAGTCTTGATCAGAAGCTTTATTGATGCCAAGCGACAAGAACACCAGTCTTACGGTCTTATGCCTGAATGTTACTTCCCGCATATTGCAAGGAACCCTTTGGATCGACGGCACTCGGCCGTTGCTGCGGGGGGGGGGGGGGGTTGGCAGCAAAGATCTTGGGAAGCACTTCCGCCTTCTTAGCCTTTGAGTCAGTTAAAATCGTTCTATCCTGTCACGTAAACGGTGGAAGGCTTCTCTTTGAGAAGTTCCCTTCAATCTGCTTGGCCAACGTCCAGAAAGATCGACTGCCATTGCGCTGCGACATTACCATGCGCCTAACTTTTATACCGTGCTGGTCTGGCATTGCGGGCCGCTTTGTTATATTTGTTTCTGGACTCGACGTCGGCTTGTCTGTTCTCTACAGTAGGGTTTTGTGAGAAGGTTCTGTGTGCCTTATCTTCTGCTGACGAGCAGTATCGTATGATTTTTTGAACCAGACGTGGGACCCTAGTTTAGGCATTTTCACTGCATGAGGGATGTATTCCTGCCTCCCAACGTGGATAATTTCGGTTATCGATGAACAGACAACCGACGCATCCGCATCAGCAAAACTTCCCAAGGAAAGGTGGAGAAGAAGTCTCCGAGTCCCTCCCAGTCGGCATGTCTGTAATGCCAGTTTTTGCGGCCTGGGCGAGTTTCAGCTGCCACGGCGGGTTCTGACCGAAACCTAGCTCCATAACACCGTGGTCTGAGTTACCCAGGGAAGTCAGGACAGCAGTGCTGTAAACGACAGGATGCGTGGTCAGAAAGAGATCCAGCAGGCCACAGGCGTGTGACCAAACGCACGATCTGTTGCATCGGTCCTGTTTGAGCCCAACCAATGCTCATTATGGGCGTTGAAATCACCGAGGAGAACTACCTCTGAAGCGGAGTGATTGATGCTCATGAAGTCGATCTTGATAAAGAGGTATTCAAGTACGTCGTCCTAGTTATGGCCCGAGGGGGAGCGATAAAGGCAGCAAATAAATTTGGGAGATGTTTTGAAGTTGAGGCAAAGCTGCAGAATATCCTTCCGGTCTGATTCCACAGAAACGTCTTTTAAACAGCAAACATTGCTGCGAACAAAAGCCACAAAATTAATCGGTTCAGACTCTGAGATTTTTGTCTTCACTAAGAAAAGCATGGCCAGACGTTTGGATTGCAGGTTGTGATGTACAGCATCAATTTTGCTGTTAATCCCGTATATGTTCGTGATACAAATTTCATGATCGATGTTTTTCCCCCGAGTCCACCCTCCACTCGGACATTCCGAGAGTGAAGTGAGTTTACGTAGTACTCGTGGGATCCATCATCATTAATTTCTATGTTGGAGAAAATAACCGACTGCCTAGCGTAGGTGTGGAAACATGCAGACATTCTTAAGATACCCTGGAAAAAGCTAGCGGGTGGTACCGCCTCGGTCGACTGGTCCTTGTCTACCACCTTTTTTGTGCGTGTTAATGCTGTTAAATACCATAGACCTAAAGTGGCCTGTTGGTGGACTTATACCGCCACCCGGGAATCGGTACTGAGGTATTCCGTAACCCGTGTATAATCACTTGAACGGGAAGAATTTGTATACTAAATACAACTTCCGGAACAAGCATTTGCCACGGCCCCGCTCAGAATACTGATATCATTTTACCGATAATCTCATCGTTATTCGAAAGTCGTGATCAAAAAGTAACCTTATTACAGACATTCAAAAATAACGATATCGGCCATCTCTAGTCTCTAATAAAACATAATAATACACATAATATATAAAAATGAAAGCGTTACCTCACCGCGCTCACAGTAAAAATAAAAGTTATATTATACATCAATACACAATAATAATCAGACATTAAATTTCTTATTTGATGTGAGCGCAGAGGAGCAAGGCCTTTATTTTTGTATTTTGTATCTTTCTGAGTTTTACCACATATTTGAAGTAGGAAATGTTGCGACCAAGCGCTCATATAAAAATACAAAGTATATTCGAAAACGGGTGAATTTTGAACAAAAATGACAGAATTGCGAATTTCGGGCCTTTAAAGAACAGTCAAGTGCTGAAATAAAAAGAAAAGTGTTCATATAATTTTAAAATATATACATGTTTTAAAATAGTTAAATGCAAAATTTCCATATTTGCGATCAACTTTAAATTTGAGTTACCTTCAAAGATGAAAACCTCGCTTATAGACTCTGTCACTATTTGCTGACTGAAATTTGAAAGTTTTCAGGATCTTGTGTGTGAGAAGTAAAATTATTTTCCCTTATTTCAACAATTAGAAACTAGAACCACATAATATTTTTACGGTAGCTCCATAAGATAAGTCAGTCTTTTTGGAACGAAGCTTCCACCAAATATCACTATCATACCTTCTCCAAAACGTTCCCGTTCTCGCAAAGCATGGTGTAGCTGAGATGTGTCCTGACAGCTTTGAATTGGTTCCTTTTCAGGGTCTTCGTTTCCAACAGGATGTCGTACTTGTAAATAACAGCCACTGTCGTTGGCCGATCGGCGATCTGTTTTGCTCCCTCTGACATTTATAGTCGAGTGAAATTAGCTATATACAAAACAACCGAAGATTGACGTCATCTATTCACCTTAGTGCGCATAAAAAAATCTGCCTTGTCATATATCCGTTACATATATTTTACTAACGATTTCATAAAATCATTATTTTGGATAACTAAAAAAGTTACGAACATACTTTTTTACAGTCTCCCTGCGGTCTTGAACGTTTCCAAAATTGCGCTCATCTCACTAGTGGTGACAAATATACTCAGTGACATTAGAAATTTCACACCCAGAAAAAATAATTCCTTCAACTTGTTTTTTTGGCAATGAGGTAGTCTTACATCAAGAATGAAACGATAACGTTCTTACGAAATTTGATTGACAAGTAATAAGAAAAAAAAATTAGTAATGTGTTGGGCCACCCCGCAGCTGAATATACTCCTGTATACGACTGGGCATCAACAAAATAAGATGATCGATGTCTGGTACGGCACTTCATTCCAAGCAACTCGAACTTCGAGGATTAGCTGTGGCAGAGTTTGTGGCAGATGGTGCAAAGCGGATAGTCTCGTATCCATCATATCCCACCAAGGTTCGATGGGATTTGAACCCGGTGAACGGGGTGGCCTCGGCAAAAGATTAACGCCTGCTTCTTAAAGAAAGTCCGTAGTACGACGAGCGATATGGGGACGTGTGGACGGCCTTCTAGATACGGCAGTAAAGTGATTTGTAGGATATCATCAACATAACGCATATTTCCTTGAACAAAGAGAAGGGGTGATCGGCTGCCATAGGCAATAGCCCTCCAAACCATTACTCCAACAGTCCTGTGTACATGCCTCTCAACAGCAAATCTACCCATTTACGGCCCTCGTGCATACCTAGACAGAATCGCGATTCATCGCATTATGCCATTCTGCCTCCCATTCTCTGCTCCAGTTCAAACGTTGACGAAAGTAGTCCGCAGTCAGAGGAAGCACTAACCGTGGTCGGTATGAAAACAGTCCAAAGGCTCGATTGAGTGTACGCAGTAACAGGTCTTCCTTCTTATCCAAACCATTGGTCAACGATCTGACGCGTAGTAGCAAAACGCTAGCTATCTGAAGCGCCTATCTTGACGCTCTGTGTACGCCTCGGTGGGCAGATGACCTTCTTCATGTTCCTCTACCTTCTCCTGTCCACACATGACACACACGCATTACCGTCATTGCAGTACAATTAACACGGTGGCCAATTTCACAATAGGACAAACCAACATCTCTGCAAGCAATAATTCTACCCCGGTCAAAGTCTCTAACATGGTGATAATTTGGACGTCTTCGAACTGAGGCATTTTGTTATGCTCAACACTAGTAAATGAAAGGGCAATAACTAAATATATCTGTACTACTCAGCTCTCAGAAACTGCTTTCTTCACAAAAACTACGAGATAACATTTTAACAAATATAAACAAAAACAAAGATAAAACGTTGACATTGTAGCCAAAGCATGCTTTAAATATAGTCCTTATGTTGCCAAAAAATTATTTTGGGTGTAACACTACTAATGTATCTGAGTATATTTCGCGAACTGTGAGTTAGTAACTGATATCTTAAATCATGACATTTACCAAATACCGTGAAACAGCGGGAACTAAAGCCTATTTATCTAAGAAAGACATTAGACCAAAACAATAACCAGCGCGTGTTGAGTGCGTGATCAGCACGATGATATATTTCTGATGACTGATAACTGATATAATTTGGTTAAGAACTCCTCTGTTGTTATTGTATTTGTTGGGCTAGTACTTTGATCAGCTTGTCTGTTTCCTAGTCCCTTTTGCAAGGAATTGATGTTGTTTTTTCATTTTAGATTTTTTCTCTTTGTATTTTTTTGCTCTGCAAATAAACGCTATTATATTGTATTAGGTAGAGTCGTTCGAGCCCATATACAGGACCAATGTCAAATCAGGAAACGGCTGTAATATGATACAATATACAAAAGGTGATCTTGTGAAGATAACTGCACAAGAATTATTTGTTTCATACGAGGATTTAGTGAAAAGCTTTCGGTCTGACACAGATATGGCGCTCCATTCCGCCAAAATGTATAATTCCTGCATGTCATTTCTTCGTATGGCAAGCTTCAACTTGTTCTCTTGAGTAGTCTACTGGTCTACAAGAATTTTTGAACTGAACATCTCGCGTAGTTTTCATCAAGATGGGTAAACCTGACTATCATGCTGCCATCAAATTCTCCGTGTAGGTTGGATGGTTCAAACCCTAATGAAATTCTTCCGAAGTTACAACCTGTTCTGTCGATTCCAACTGTTAAAACGTAGGCAGCTGAATTTGAACGTTGGGGCACGTTCCTTGGAGATGGCCGACGTAAATGACGACCAAAAACCGTAACCACACATGAAACTATCGAAAAGGTCCACGACATCATACTGGACGATAGACATGTGAAGGTGGGTGAGATAACTTAGGCTATGGGGATATCGGTAGGAAGGGATTGAAACACCTTGCACAAAGAATTGGATATGAGAAGGTCCTGCGCAAGATGGTTGTTAGCATAGATGAGACATACAGGCAGTTTCTTCACTAGATGCTAGAAAAAAAAGCAGCGGATAGAGCTAGGATTGGGGGTTATTGATAACAACGGCTATAAGAATCTCTTTGTCACGGTGAGAGGGGGTAGGTAGGCGGGGGACGATTAAGAACACCCAACAAGCGAAAATAACCTATGTTCCGGTTATTGGACTTTTTTGTTCGATAACCGTACTTCACAAAACATTACAAAACAACCGTTTACTCGAATTAGGCCTGGCTTGGAGAATAACAATCATTTTTCATCAGAATAACACATCTGCTCACAAAGGTATGTTAACCATGAAAAACCTACGAGATTTAGGATACGACTTGCTCGACCATCCCCTCTTCTCATGATTTTGGCATTCACAGACTTCCGTTTCCAAATTTGAAAAAAACTTCTTTCTGGAAAGCCCTTTGAGTCCGATGTGGAAATTGAGAGGGTCGTATATTATTATTTTGACAGCCTTCTATATTCGGGATTCGAAAAGGGAGACAGCAGAAAAACATTTCGCACGTCCATGCTAACGTGGAATCTTTTTGGGTATGGCGGGATACCCGTGCGGGCCGTGCGCCGAATTTGTCAACTTGAAAAAATGGCAGGTTAGCATTGGCGTACGATGTGTTTCGCTGCCCTCTTCCTTTAGGTTTCCGAGAATAGTCTTACAGTTCCGAGAAGAAATCCTAACGTTGGAGATACGTTACCAAGTGTGTTAGGTTCAAAAGAGTTTATGTAAGAAAATAAACCATTTATTAACTGAAAAGCGCAGTCTAACATTATCAGGCTAAGGACTTTTCATCCTATCCTCGTATACAGAGATATATGCAATTTTCTAGAAATAATCAAAATAAAAAATGATATTGTCAGGAAACATGTTTTAAAGATCAAATGGGGATCTTTATAATACCTTGAAAATAAGTGCAATAATGTATTTGTTTTTGATATAGATGCATTAATTTTTGACCAATATATGACCAAATTTCTCAGTCGTTCTGAGCGTTTTTCAGTGACGCATGACGTGAACTAGCCCAATCGTCTCTTTTAGCTTTTTCGTCCAAAATTTGAGAAATAAGGAGACATCAGTCTAAAAATTCCCGTATTACAAATATCTTTGCAATGATCTCGCCTGAATGCTAATAAGCAGACAGCAATATTCTAAAATACTATTACTATCGATACATATTTCTGAAAAATTTTCAAGATATAGATATATCTAGAGAAACATCTTCATCTAATTTTTGCAGGTTTATACCCATTTTCCCGAACTATTATTGACAAGATGTGAATGCACCCATAAATATACATAATATGGCGTGATAAGTCAACTGTGAATGCCGTACTGATATAGTATGTTTGCACTTTTGCCATGGTGAAAAAATAATCATTTATATATTTACGTCCCACCCTTTTGATAACCTCGCTCATTATCTGGATAATTAGCTAATTAAAAAATGTTATCCGCAAAAGGTAGACTGATATGGATATCATGAGTGTAATATTTTGAAAGCAAAGATTTGCTAATAAATATTCAACACAAAAATATGCTATGCGCTTAAGGTTAAATAGGTCCGAAATTGTTGGACTGAGAATAAAAATTAAGAAATTGAGATTTTTCGAGCAATACCATATAGTTTTGCATCAAAATATACTAAGTGACGTAGAAAAAGGACACCCAGTCATACTAAATTTACAATTGTTTATATATAAATTGCTCCTAGGGTTAGCTAAGCATTTGATCAAATGTTCAGAAAAATCAGTTGAAATATGTAAAAAATAATAATTTGTAAGGCCTCAACGGTGCCTTCTGCACTCAGAAACACGTGGGCATACTATATAGATATATCATCGATTTCCTCTTGAGGTACCTCGCGCCGAAGTGCCGCTGGAGTCGTGCAGATTAGGGCAAACGAAGTAATATTCTTCGCATAGTGTCCCAGATGTGTTCAATGGGTATTATGTAAAAAACCTAAAAGACGTCAACTTGCAGACTAGGTAGTTTTTAGGGCGCAAACAGTCATTCCACGTTTGCTCACTAGGATCTTTGTGAACGTCCATCTATGGAGAAATCACTCAACTAAACTACGCATTATTGGTTGCATAGCTTTGTGAGGCTGAATGATCCGGGTCTGTAGTTTTTATCTCTGAGAAGAAAGTTGGTTGAATAGCAAGATCACATCTCGCGCAGGCCCTCAAGGGAGGACTGGCGCACGGCAAGGGAGATTGTCACCTTCGAAAGGACGGTATGGGCAGTAGATTCGTTTGCCCCATACAAAAGTCCAGGTCTGGACGGCGTATTTCCGGCCATGTTACAGCAGGGACGGATTTCGGTTGTTCCTTACCTGTTGAAGGTGTTTCGAGCATGTGTGGCCACGGGCTTCACACCTAGAAGCTGGCGGCAGGCTAAAGTGGTATTCATTCCTAAACCGGGCAGAGATAGATATACTGGCCCGAAGGATTTTCGACCGATTACTCTT